TGGAGACACAAGAGACCCCGAATAGCCAAAGCAGTCTTGAGGAAAAAAAAAGGAGCTGGAGGAATCAGACTCCCTGACTTCAGACTATACTAGAAACCTACAGTAATGAAGACAATATGGTACTGGCACAAAAACAGAAACATAGATCAATGGAACAGAATAGAAAACCCAGAGATAAACCCACGCACCTATGGTCAACTAATCTATGACAAAGGAGGCAAGGATATAAAATGGAGAAAAGACAGTCTCTTCAGTAAGTGGTGCTGGAAAAACTGGACAGCTACATGTAAAAGAATGAAATTAGAACACTCCCTACCACCATACACAAAAATAAACTCAAAATGGATTAGAGAACTAAATGTAAGACTGGTCACTATCAAACTCTTAGAGGAAAACATAGGAAGAACACTCTTTGACATAAATCACAGCAAGATCTTTTTTGATCCACCTCCTAGAGTAATGAAAATAAAAACAAAAATAAACAAATGGGGGCTTCCCTGGTGGCACAGTGGTTAAGAGTCCGCCTGCCGATGCAGGGGACGCGGGTTCGTGCCCCAGTCCGGGAAGATCCCACATGCCACGGAGTGCCTAGGCCTGTGAGCCATGGCCACTGAGCCTGCGTGTCCGGAGCCTGTGCTCCGCAACAGGAGAGGCCACAACTGTGAGGCCCGTGTACCGCAAAAAAATAAAAAATAAAATAATGGGACCTAATGAAACTTAGAAGCTTTTGCACAGCAAAGGAAACCATAAACAAGACCAAAAGCCAACCCTCAGATTGGGAGAAAATACTTGCAAATGAATCATCAAAGGATTAATCTCCAAAATATATAAACAGCTCATGCAGGTCAATATCAGAAAAACAAACAACCCAATCCAAAAATGGGCAAAAGATCTAAAGAGACATTTCTCCAAAGAAGATATACAGATTGCCAACAAACATATGAAAGGATGCTCAACATCACTAATCATTAGAGAAATGCAAATGAAGACTACAATGAGGTATCACCACACACCAGTCAGAATGGTCATCATCAAAAAATCTACAAGCAATAAATGCTGGAGAGGGTGTGGAGAAAAGGGAAACCTCTTGCACTGTTGGTGGGAATGTAAATTGATATAGCCACTATGGAGAACAGTATGGAGGTTCCTTAAAAAACTAAAAATAGAACTACCATATGACCCAGCAATCCCACTACTGGGCACATACCCAGAGAAAACCATAATTCAAAAAGACACATGCACCCCAATGTTCATTGCAGCACTATTTACAATAGCCAGGTCATGGAAGCAACCTAAATGCCCATCGACAGACGAATGGATAAAGAAGATGTGGTACATATATACAATGGAATATTACTCAGCCATAAAAAGGAACGAAATTGGGTCATTTGTAGAGACGTAATGGACCTAGAGACTCTCATACAGAGTGAAGTAAGTCAGAAAGAGAAAAACAAATATCGTATATTAACGCGTGTATGTGGAACCTAGAAAACGGTACAGATGAACCGGTTTGCAGGGTAGAATTTGAGACACAGATGTAGAGGACAAACGTATGGACACCAAGGGGGAAAAGCGGCAGGGGGTGGGGGTGGGGGTATGATGAACTGGGAGCTTGGGATTGACATGTATACACTGATGTGTATTAAATGGATGACAAATATGAAAAAATAAATAAATAAAAGATAAACATACAGAAAAAGAAAGGAGTCGCTGTTGCTTTCAGCTACTAATCTTTGGGGTGGTCTGTTACATAGCAAAGACTGCATCTCTATTTCCTCATTCAAATGGGACAATAGGGCTTCCCTGGTGGCGCAGTGGTTGAGAGTCCGCCTGCCGATGCAGGGCACACGGGTTCGTGCCCCGGTCCGGGAAGATCCCACATGCCGCGGAGCGGCTGGGCCCGTGTGCCATGGCCGCTGAGCCTGCGCGCCCAGAGCCTGTGCTCCGCAGCGGGAGAGGCCACGGCAGTGAGAGGCCCGCGTACCGCAAAAAAAAAAAAAGAAAAAAAGGGACAATAATGCCTATCCAACTACTCATCTGTTTATTCAAGAGAGTTGAAGGCTTACTACACAATATCTATAGATTATATATTCATATATAATTAAGAATCAAATGAGATAATGGCTGTTAATGTACTTGGTAACATTAGTTTTACTATTGTTACTAACACCTCCCTTTCACTGAGCTCCCACATTTTTTAAGCACTTAAAATCCACTTTGTATTTGATCTTCTCAAAGGATCAGACAGCATCATTTTCAGCCCTCTCTGATGGAGCTGACCCCTTACCACCTGCCCTTCTTCTACATACTCTCATTAGCAAAGAAGCCTGCCCTTGGATTAAGGACCTCTGGGACTTTCCTCCTACTGGAGGAAATAAGGAATTCAATCCTTATGGGGAACCCACAGCCACTGCCATAAAGTGCTAAAGATGCAGGGCCTGCCCATTACCATCCCAATGAGAGTTTTAAAAAAATTATTTACTAACAATAACAACTAAAATGTATTGAGCACTTACTATGTGCCAGGTACAGTTCTAAGCTTTTTAGTGAACTGTTGTCTGACTCAACAGCACTCTGAGGTAGGTACGATTATTATCCCTATTTGGAGGTAAGGAAACTTAAGCCCCAGCAATGTTAAATCACTTACCCAAAGGCAGACAGCATGAAGTGGACAAAGATTCAATCCCTGGTAGTCTGAGGCCAAAGCGCCCCCCTTAATCACGGCCCTGGTCTGCTCATTCTCCTACACCATGTTTCACTGTGGCTCCCAATACTCGTCCAGAACAAAGATTGTGTCTTTTCCAGCTAAGTTCATCGGAGGTGAAGTTCTGTGACCCTAGCTAAGCTATCTCCTTCTCTAGACCTCTGCCTCACGCCAGGTAAATTATGTGAAGGGTTAGACCAGGTAATGTTGAAAATCCCTTCCAGCCCCGAAAATTAAGATAGTAAATTCTTCTCCAATATCTTGTTTTATTCTGAGTTTTGTTCTCTTTCTTACTAAGGCAACTAAAGAACTTTAGGGGACGAAAATGAAAAGCAGACGCTATAAAAATGTGTTTATTAACTAATGCAGGGAAATGAAACAGCACCAGAGGAGATTCTATTTATAACTGCCTCGAGGATCATGCCATCATCTACAGTATTTGATTTTTTAATGCATTCATTCAGAGCTGAGACCCTGTAGGGGTGCTCTTTAAGCCTGACACTGAATGAAATAATTCAATTAAAATAGGCTCAAGGGGTTTCCCTGATGGCGCAGTGGTTAAGAATCTGTCTGCCAAGGCAGGGGACACAGGTTTGAGCCCTGGTCCCGGAAGATCCCACATGCCACAGAGCAACTAAGCCCACGCGCCACAACTACTGAGCCTGTGCTCTAGAGCCCGCGTGCAGCAGCTACTGAAGCCCGCGCACCTAGAGCCCATGCTCCGCAACAAGAGAAGCCACCACAATGAGAAGCCTGCACACCGCAACGAAGGGTAGCCCGTTTGCCGCAACTAGAAAAGCCCACGCGCAGCAACAAAGACCCAACTCAGCCAAAAATAAATAAATAAATAAATAAATTTATTTTAAAATAAATAAATAAATAATAAAATAAAATAGGCTTCAGGTTTCTGCAAGGTATTAAACTTCCTGAAGAGAAGATTGAGGACTTGCTCTAGGCAGCTTCAGCACCAGCATTGGTGAGACCACAGGAAACTGTATGAAGGGCTCAGTAAGAGGGGTTTCTGGAGACATTGGTGACATTTCTGGGCTGCCTGGAAAGGGCGCTGTCAGAGTAGAAATTGTACCTCAGGGAATTGTACCTCAGGGAAAAGAGACTCTGTCCAAAAGCTTCCCAACAGCTCACTGGAGTCTGACAGGCATTTTACCATATTGCTCTGGGTGAAACCTATCCTTTCCCAGCAGGAAGTGAAATTTAATAAAGATCATTAACATGTACCATTCATTGAACGCTCTCAGTGAATATCCTCAGTAGAGTATTGACCTAAGCACTTTCCATGCGTTCTCTTACACAGTCTTCACAACTGTATGACGTTAACAATCATCAAGCCCATTTTAGATGGGCAAACTGAAGTGCTAAGAAGCTCCATGAGCTGCCCAAGTTTACACAGCTAGCAGGCTGCAGACAACCCCTCATCTGTGGTGCCAAAGCCAGTGCTGTTCAGCACTTAAAAGTGCAAGTGGCATCTTATTACAGGACTGTGAACTGCAGAAGTGTGTGCATTCAAAGAAATAAAGACACAGCCCCTTTCCTCAGGTGTATGCAGTCTGGTAGGCAAACAAGGCTTATACTCAGAGTAGCTCAAACTAAATTACAAATGACTGAGGTCAAATCCAAACGTGAGAATAGGTTTTCACACAGGCAGGGGAGAGAGAACAGGATCACAGGAAGAGGAGGATATGAAACAGGCAAGCTGAGGACCTAAAATCACCCTTCTCCCTGCCCAAGACAGACCCAGTAAGCTACATTTTTTTTTTTTTTTTTTTGCGGTACGCGGGCCTCTCCCTGCTGCGGCCTCTCCCGTTGCGGAGCACAGGCTCCGGACGCGCAGGCTCAGCGGCCATGGCTCACGGGCCCAGCCGCTCCGCGGCATGTGGGATCTTCCCGGACCGGGGCACGAACCCGTGTCCCCTGCATCGGCAGGCGGACTCTCAACCACTGCGCCACCAGGGTTTATTTTTTTTTAATGCTCGTAAGTTTCTGACTCCAACTCCAATGTGCGGCGGGTTCTTTCCCACACCAAGCAATTCTCCAGCACCAGCTGGGTGCCCTACAATTCAACTCACTTCTGATATTACAGAGGTAGCATCAGATCCCAAGGATAAGGGCTCAGCCCCACAAGGCTGCCCCCTGCACCCGCCACCCCTGCTTCAGACGCCAGTCAAAAGCCCAGGTTTTCTGACGGACCAGCGATAATTGGAGGTTCCAACAAACTCCTGCTTAGGTTCGATTAATTTGCTAGGGTGGCTCATAGAACTCAAAGAAACATTTTACTTACCAGATTGCCAGTTTATTATGAAAAGCTATAACTCAGGAACGACCAGCAGGAAGAGATTCATAGGACAAGATGTGGGGAAAGAGCACGGAGCTTCCATGCCCTCTCCAGGTGCAACACTCTCCCGGCACCTCCATGTTCCCCAACCCGGAAGTTCTCTGAACTCAGTCCTTCCGGGCTTTTATGGCCGCTTCATGACGTAGGCACGACTGATTAAATCATTGGCCATTGGCGATTGAACTCATTCGCCATCCCCTCTCCCCTGCCCCGAGGTCGGGGGTGGAACTGAAACTTATAATCACAGGATGGGCTCTCCTGGCAACCAGCCTCCATCCTCAGGTGTGGTTCAGAAGTTACCATCAACACAACAAAAGACACCTTTAAACGCTCTCATCACAGAAAATTCCAAGGGAAATTTCCAATTTCGCAGGTCTGTGCCAGAAGTGGGGACAAAGGCCAAGTACACATTTATTATAAATCACAAGACAACTGGGCGTTCCATGGGATTAGGAACCGTGTCTTCCTTATTTGCTCCATACCCCCAGTAGCCAGCACCGACATTTTGTTGGGAGAATGGAAGCGTACCTGAAAGAAGAAAAAGAAAATATACAAAATTAAATAAGCAAAAGAAAAGAAATCTCAGCCCTAAATCTAACCATCCTCTTCTGAAGGAGAAAAAAAAAAAAACAAAGGAGAGCAAGCAGAGGAATGCAGAGGAAGTGGAGGGGGAGGGTCTGAGAGACCTGTTGGTTCAGGTGCAAGTGATGTCAACAGCTGAAATGACCACCCTGAACGGCTAGCCCTGGATCAGTACTTATGAAACTTGAGTCTGCGTGGGGAGCTTGTTAAAATACAGATTGCTGACTCACCCCCAGAGTTTCTGATTCAGTAGACCAGGGAAATTTTGCCTTTCTAACTAATTCCCAGGTGATGCTAATGCTGCCAGTTCAGGGTGCAGCCCTCTGAGAACCAACAGCATTCAACCTCATCGCACATTAAGATCACCTTGGGGAGCTTATAAAAACACCCAGGCGGTACCCCTGACCAAATCCATCATAATCCCTGGGGGTGGAAACAAGTTATGCCTGTTTTTAAAAAGTAGGACCAGGTCATTGCAATGTGCAGCCAAACCAGAGAGGAAGTAATGTAGGCGCATGTGTGAGCTTGAAGTTCATACACCATAAAAATAACAGCTGGGCTTCCCTGGTGGCTCAGTGGTTGAGAGTCTGTCTGCCGATGCAGGGGACACGGGTTCGTGTCCCGGTCCGGGAAGATCCCACATGCCGCGGAGCGGCTGGGCCCGTGAGCCGTGGCCGCTGAGCCTGCGCGTCCGGAGCCTGTGCTCCACAATGGGAGAGGCCACACCAGTGAGAGGCCCGCGTACCGCAAAAAAAAAAAAAAAAACAGCTAATAACAGCTAATATTCACTTACCATGAGACAGTCACTCTGCTGAGTACATTACTGCATGACCTCATTTAATCCACACAGGAACCTTCAAGTAAGAACTATTATTCCCATTTTACCAATAAGGAGAGTCAGAGAAATTAAGTAATTTGTCTAGGCCACAAAATGGTTAAGTGAAAAGCTAAGAATCCAGTTCAGGGTTTTGTCTGTGCCAAGACTCCTAACCCCTAGGGGTCTTTAGGCCCATCCCCAAGCCACTTAGTGCTCTGGTCCCTGCCTTAAATCTTCAGTATTTGGTTGCATCCAGATGACAACAATCTGCGCTGTAATAACTGGAATCCTCTTCATATTTGGGATTAGATAGAAAGAGATCTGTATTCATAGATACATACATGAAAAAACAAATGCAAATCACAGAATGGTTGTTTTACTGAATTCAATACTACTTAAAAATCCAGTCACTGTCCTGCTCATATGGCTTATAACCACTTCCAAGTAAAGTTCAACCTCCAAATACGGCATTCAAGGCCCTTCACGATGGAACCCCTGCCTCGGACTCTCCAGCCCCGCATCCCTCCTCCTCTGTTCTCAACAGCCTCTTTTCAGTTCCCCAAATCTAACCATGCCACCATGCCTTTATCCTTGCTCTTCTCTCTCTTTCCTTTCTCTTTATCTGCCTGGAGAACTTCTACCCATCCTCTAAAACTCAGGTCACCTGTCCCTTCCTATCCATAATCCTCCCGCGTGCCTCTTCTCTGAGCGATCAAAGCAGCATGTGTATCACATTTTATTCTAGGGTTACTATCTATCATTCTCTACCCCCTTAATCTGTTTGCTGAATTTCCAAAGGGACCTTTTTAAGAGAATCCTGGCTCTGCTCTGAGAATGTGACTTTCCCCGAAGATCCCTCGAGTAAGAACTATACTCTCTCCCATCCACGAGACTTAGAGATGGAGCGTTCGTCCTCTCTTCCAGACCATCGTCCTTCCTTCCTCTGTAAAACCCCTGCAGCTCTGAATCTCATGTTATCGGATGACACCACTACCCACCCCTCCTTGTTACCGTCCTGCTCCCAGCATCACCCCTTTTATTCCTTGAATATTTAGCTCCTGGCTCACTGTCCCTCTCTCCAACACAAATCTGTCTTAATTACTGGTGATTCCAATATCTACACTGTTGACCCTTCCAATACCCTGTTCACTCGATTTCCTGATTTTCTCACCTCTGATGAGCTTGGTCTCTATCCCACTTCACCGATCACCCCCATGGTCTCACCCCAGGTTCTAAACCATGTCACTACCAATCACTGAAACCCCTCCAAAATTTCACTTTCAAGTATCCCACCCTCCAAGTGAGGACACAGCATGGGGGAGGGGGAGGGACAGTGAACAGAGGCTCAGATTCCCCAACCCACTGTAATCCTTGTTCCCTCTTGCCCAGTCCCCTGGCCTCCTCTTACTTTGTCAGACTCACTTGGCTAAACCACATATTTCTCAGTTAAAACCAAGTCTCTGCCTGCTCTGCCCCTGTACCCTGAGAGCAGAAAGCGGCTAGAGAAAGGGGCTGACTGGTCACTGTCAAGTCGTGACCTTGAACCTCAAGCGGGTCCTGTTGCTAGCCCATTCACTCTTCCACTCTCCCAGACAATTCCTGCTTTTGCCCCTCTTTACAAACCTCGAGTCCCCGTCCCCATTTTCAGCACTTGACTTTGCTTCTCTAAATCATTTGAAAATAAAGGCAATCAGATAGGAACTTCCGCCAGTTCCCACCTCACTTCACTCTGCGGCACCTGCACCCACGTTCTCTCCGCCTCACTATGGTTACGGGGTAGGACTCCAGAGACCTTCCCCTCTGGCCATGCAGGGATTCCAGACGCTGCAGCACCACTGAACCAATTCTCTACCCTCTTTGTGCCACATTCCCTAGCTCCCCTAGATGGGAAGATCCCACCCAGACAGAAAATAAACTGTGGTTGGAGGGTGTGGATCGCTTTTCTTTTGAACTGGAAATTTAAATTATTCTTTTGTGCTTTGTACCCAAGGAGAGGATAAGGCCCTTGATATGCGATTATTTCTACAAACAAAAGGCGAGGCATCTCTGAATTGTTACTCCAGTGAATGCCTATTTATCTGGCTTCTACTTATTTCAAGTACAGTGACCCAGAGAAGACAAATAAAATAGGATTTGAAGTTCTTAATGTGCTGTGTATTTGCTTGGATTTACAAAGACCAATTGTTCAATTCAATCAGTAAAAATAAAATCTTATTCAGTCTTTTCCCTGTAATCATTGGAGGATCTCAGAAGTGAATAGCGTATGGGAGCGAGAAGCATGTGTGTGCGTGGGGATGGGTGGGAATGCCACTTTTGGTCAACTTTTTTGAAAAGTCTTCACTTTTCCCAGACAATTTTTTTTTGATATTTATTTATTTTATTTTATTTTTTGGCTGCATCGGGTCTTAGTTGTGACACACGGGATCTTAATTGAGGCACGTGGGATCTTTCGTTGCAGCGCACAGGCTTCTCTCTAGTTGAGGCGTGTGAACTCAGTAGTTGTTGCGTGTGGGCTTAGTTGCCCCACAGCATGTGGGATCTTAGTTCCCCAACCAGGGATTGAACCTGTGTCCCCTGCATTAGAAGGCGGATTCTTAACCACTGGACCTCCAGGGAAGTCCCGAAAATTTTTGAAAAAGAGTACTATAGGATTTTTCTCTCCTCCCTTTCCAGCCCAAACTATTGACAATTAAAATTCCCACTTTCCATATTATAGTTAAGGCCATAGGAAAGAATCTTCTAAGGGTATTTGTGTTTTAATTTACATTGAGCACTTACCATCTGCCTTGGCATCATGCAAGTGCTTTGTGTCTGTTATTTAAATCTTTATTCTTCATAGGATAGGTAGTATTTTATCATCATCCCCATTTACAGATTTGGAAACTGAGGCTTAGATAAATTCAGAGATCAGCCCAAGGTCTGTAGCTACTAAGTGGGGGAGCTGAGAATCAAACCTAGGCAGCATGACTCCTAAATGTGTATACAGGGATGTCCCAAGGCTTTCTATTTTCCTCTCAGAGTTTCACTCCTTTATCTGCTATAATCCATTGGATATTTGAAAGGAAAATAGGATGAATGGAGTCAAGTCTCACTGAGAAGATATAAGATGAGTTAGGTCATACAGAATGGACTGACTTCCTCAGGGAGAGAATTAGCAGAGGCAAAATGCAAATTCTGCTGGTGGAGAGGCTGCATTTTAAATCCTTATCTAACACACTGGCAAGGACAGGGTGACCCCAGTCTCTAAGTGGCTGAGGGAGGTAGTCTAAGGTGGTGACTTCTGGAATGAAAACTGCCAAGGTTTAAAGCCAGGCTCTTCTTACCTTGTGATCTTGGGCAAGTTAATTAACCTCTCTGACCCTCAGGTTCTTTCTAGGTAAATGGAGATGACAGTAATAGTAGTTACTTCCCAATCAAGTTGGTCCCAAGTGTTCACCAAAGAAACACCATTAAATTTTGAATGCAGCATGACAGACTGAATATACAATGGCCAAACCATATGTAAAAATAGATCTCTAACCTACTGTCTGCAACCAGCCCTAGAAACCGACCCATTATCTAGGGAGCTCAGGAAGCCAGCCTACTTATTATTTATAAGTCAGACTTGTACAAAGTCAGACCACCATCTCTAGAAAAAATTCCATAAAGCCAAACTCCTATAACTACCAGCCCAAAACAGGCAGGACTTGATTAATAACTGGCAGTTTCCAACTTAGGACCAACCAGAGAAAGTCAAATATGCAGCCTTCACCAGTCACATAAGATGTCCTACCTCTTATTGGCCCACCTACAACTTCCCCACAATAACAGCCTTCAACAGGGACATACCTGAAATCTTCCTTTTTCTCCACTATGAAGTTTTCCAATTCCTCTACCTGCTTTTGAGTCTCGGCCAAAACACAAGTGATGGTGGCTGGCTCCTTTGTTACAGCAAGCTCTGTACAAATAGCCTTTGCCTGTTCTCACTGGGTTGGTCTTTATTTCCACAAGCGTTAACTGGACTCATTCAGGTTAGAAATGATGGAGACTTAGATCAAGGTGATAACAGTGAAGATAGTAAAAAGTGATTATATTCAGGAAATATTTTAAGGGGAGAACCTTCAGGGACTTCTCTGGTGGTGCAGTGGTT